TATTTTTAATTAAAATTATCGTTTCTGCCAATTTTTTTTCAATTTTTAAATTTTCTTCGATTTTTGGTTAGACTGAGTAAAACCCATTGAAGTCGTTTTTGTGAGGTTTCCGGGACACAAGAGCGGAGACCGCCGAGGTAATGGGCTCTAGGGAGGTCCCTGCAAAGGGCGCGGGGCCGGGGTGGGAGTGGGGGAGGGGCGCCCGGGAGGGGCCGCGGCGGGAAGGCAGCCGGGGCCGTTTCTCCCGGTGTGGGCATTTTCGCCTGGCGGTGGTCCCGACCCGCCGCTCGGGGTCGCAGCCTGCCGGGCGGGGAAGGGGGCGCAGGGCGGGGACCTCGTGCCCGCTCGGCGCGGAGCCGCAACCTTTTTTAGGGGGAGGGGAACACGCCCGACCCGCGACTCCGCTGCGGCAAACCTTGTGACTGATTTGCATTTGTAATAATAAAAAAATTAAGTCCAGAGAGCTAAGAGTCTAGGGGCAGCGTAGGTGGGTTTGGGCATTTATTATAGTAGAAGCCAAGAGTGGGGAAGACGGGCCAGGAACGTTTGACAATCTACGATCGATGTTGCATCAGTTTCCTTTCCGGGCATAGGAGGGGCCGACCGAGCGTGGTGCTCGCCAGCCAAATGCCTCTGGATGCTGTGCACACCCGAGGGCACGGGTGTGCACGTGTAAACAAACCCACAGTGCCCAGTGCGAGTCTGGGAACGGGCATTCTTAACCCCTCGAAAGCTCTTTCCGCCTCCATCTGGAAGTATGTTATCTGCCGCAGAGGCATTTCCCCACCTAGGGGACTCCAGGCATTAAAAGATGAGTTACGCGGCATTGGTGGTACAAATGCTAGAAATAGGGAGCCTTGCGCCTGCGTTGCATGGACACCTACCAAATGCCTGGGTGGGATTTGTACCCTGCGTGCCTCTGCACGACCTAGCAGCTGGAGGGAAAAGCCAAACAGAGCCCCCACCCCCACCTCCGCGTAGATTTGGGATAACGAAGAGGATGAAATCGTTCGCCTGGAAGGGGAGCTGACGCCCGTAGGGCGCGGGCCTCCGCGGGCGCAGTGTTGCGGTGGGATTATCTTTGTTCTCCGCTACTCTGCCGTCTGTACTTTTCCGCCCCTCGGTGCGTCCCCGCCCCTCGCGCTCGGCTGGTACTTTTCCACTCGCCTGGCCAGGGATGAATCAGCCGCGCTGCGCCTCCCGGCGGTGTCACGTGACTGCACTGGGCGGGCGAGCGGGCGCTGCAGTCCTGACGCGCCGCCACTACCTTCGCAGGCTGCCGCTAGGGCCGGTGCACCGCCAAGGACAAAAGGAGCTCAGCGCTGATCGCTACACCCCATTCCTCCCAGTGCCCAGCATGAAGAAATCCGAAATGGGAAGGTTCAACATTTCCCCGGATGAGGACAGCAGCAGCTACAGTTCTAACAGCGATTTCAACTACTCTTACCCCACCAAACAAGCTGCTCTGAAAAGGTAGGAGAAATGTTTCCTTTAAAAGTCAGGTGGTTTGTGGGGAGAGGAAAATTTTTTTACCTACGACTATGCTGCTTTTGATTTTGTTTACTGCATTTGGAGAGAATCCATAGTCTCTGAAATTATCTAGTTGCTTTACTGCAATGTCACTATTTTGTGTGAGAGTGGACTGCTACTTAATATTTATTTATACATTTTAAGTAAAGGTATTGAGGCAACTGAAAGTGGGCTTCTTGGTGTTAAAGCAGTCTAGTATGTTAATTATAATATACTAAAATACAATTTAAAATAATTTTTTTCCCCCTAGCCATTATGCAGATGTAGATCCTGAAAACCAGAACTTTTTACTTGAATCGAATTTGGGGAAGAAGAAGTATGAAACAGACTTTGTAAGTTAAAAATAGTAATTTGTGTGTCTGTGGCTTTATGGAGTAATGAGAATAGTTTTACTTTTAGATTTCAAAGCTAACTTGCCCAAAGCTGGTTTTCTCCATTTAATTATTGTTATATGTTTGGTTATCGTTTTCCCTCTGTGTAGCATCCAGGTACTACTTCCTTTGGAATGTCAGTATTTAATCTGAGCAATGCGATTGTGGGCAGTGGAATCCTTGGGCTTTCTTATGCCATGGCTAATACTGGAATTGCTCTTTTTATGTAAGTATGTGTAAGTAGTGAGCCTGCCGTGCAGGGCAGTTAATGTATTGATACAGCATATATTCTGGCTCCAGAAACTGGATTTACAGTTGAAGTAGTTGACTTAATACTCGTCTGTTTAAAGTTAAAAACAAAAGAAATCCAAAAATCTCTATTCTACTCAAATAAGTGCACAATATCAAGAAAGCCAATTGGATAGGAAAATGTAGGGTAAAATTTAAAATAAAAATACTAATAAGCATAGTGCCTCCAAATCAGTTTGGTAAATTGACAGAGTCCCCAAGGCCCTGTGGCCTGTTTATGACCATCAGGAAAAGAACTGATTCTTCTGTAAGTTGGTGTGGTGGTATTTGCCTGCCCCGGAACAAGTTTGTTTGAAGAAAAGTGAGTAGTGAGTCATTTTTTTTGACACTGAAAAGCAACCCATATGTAGATTATTTTTTTTTTTTTTCCTAATAGCTCTGTGTGGTTGCCATATGCCACAGCAAAAAAAAAAAGAGTATTTTAATAAGTATCTGATTTAAAGGTTTTTTTTCCCCCTTAATTACCCAGTTAGCATTAGTTATTCCTATGCTTCCCAAAATACCTACAAAAGAATTTTGAAATTACAGAAGATATTAGAGCAGTGGTTCTTTGCCATTCTTGAGGGTCCGTCACTCACTCTTGGAAAATACGATGAAAAACTATGGGCCCTCCAGCAAAACAAAAATACATGCAAATTTGAGTGTGCATTTTCAATGATGTTTGTATTATAGCTGTTTAAGTACCTATCTGGCTAAGGCAGTTTGTGTAGAGGATCATTTGACTAGATTGTACAAATGAGGAAACCATAAATACATTTAGTATGGTGAGAGAGATGTTTAGTTAACTACTGGTGCCTTCTACTCAAGTTATTTTCTCCGGCGGAATAGAATGTTCATGAAAAGCAGACCTTTGCAAAACTCCGCTTTTGTGTGAGATTCCATATGGAGGTTAAAGCCTGGCTTTGACTGGAAGCTGGAATTCTGTCATGCTTATTTCATTAGCCTGAGGCTTTTTGAAACCTTACTAAGGATGAGAAATTTACATAGAAAAGATGTTAAAGTTTCAAAGTATTTTGTGGATTAACCCACTGGGTAGCATCATTGGATCTGGGTAGAAAAACTGGAGGTACTTTAAAAATGTTGCCTGTGTGGTTATAATAAAGAATTTACATTTGATAAAATAACATCTTAATTTCATAAGTGAAGGGAAAGTTCTGACAGTGTTGTCCTTGCACTTTTGAATTTACTTATACTTGAATAGTTGCTCATGCACCGCTCTATATGTAAACTGAGTTTGATGATTAACCATTTTAATAAATGGCTGAGTAAAATTGAGTGCTAAAGTGAGTTTTTATCCATCAGTATTTTACAAGATACACATTCAGAGGGATAGAAGTAAATGGGCCAGAGGCTGCATGGTTGCTGCAGTCTAATTATACAGTGCTCTGCTTAATCAACTCTTTTCCTGACCTTCTTGAGTGGAATCAGTCTCCAAGGTCATGATGTCTTTTCATCCCTCATTGTTTTTCAGTCTAAGAGAGAAAAAAATACCAAACTCACTGCCATCAAGTCAGATCCAACTCATCGTGACCCCTCCTTGGGTTTCCGAGGAGGTGTCACTATGGAAGTAGATTACCCAACCTTCCTTTCGAGAAGTTGCTGGTGGATTTGAACCACCAGCTTTCTGGTTAGCAGTCAGATTCCTTGGGCACTATGCCCCCAGAGTTCCCAGTGTAAGAGATGGAAGGACTTGATTTGAATTGTCAGCAGACTTTTGAAATTGTTTTGGTTACATAAACAACTTAGTTATAGGTCAGGCTGATGATGGTGTCATTTTCCACCTTAAATTGACTAGAACTCAGAAACTTTTGGCATTAGAATGGCAGCTTTTAATGCCACCTGCTAAGTTTAATTAATAGACTTAGGGTTTTGTTTTCTGTTTTTTTTTTTTTTTTTAACCAGTAGCTCACAAGGTGTGCTGTGTGCAGTTTGCCCAGCTGTGCAGTTTGCCCAGTGGCCCCCGCCCCCCCCCCCCAATGAGTTCCTAATTGTTTTGCACTTTGAGGGAGAGGGATTTCTTTACCCTTGGCTTGCCTGGAGGGAAGGAAAGTGAAGCTAGAGTGAGTGAGAACCCCTGCCCTAAAGAAATTTAGTCCTTTTGTATTCTTTCCCCCTGGCCTCCTTGTTTAAACCAAGTAGAATAGTCAAGAGCCCAGACAGTAGAGGCTAGTAGGCGCTGATAGCCAGCTGCTCTCCAGGCATCTTTAACTTTGTGATGAAGTTGAGTTTATAATCCACATCACTAGTTTCAATGTAATATATGATCTTAGAAGTTACTCTAATTATACCCAGTTGTTTGTAAAGCTTGTCTCTGACACTGAAAATGTTAGTGTGTTTATCCCCTTCCTTTATAATCCCATTCCTCTCCCTATGTGGTGTTAAGACTTTCCTGTACCTATGAATTAAATTTTACAAGTACCTTCAAGGATGGGTTTAGTGGCAGGTATCATCACCATTTTACAGATAAAGACAAGCGTATGGCTAATTATGGTTATTAGAATCAAAATACACGTCTTAGAACTGGGAAATTATGCTTTCCATTCTCCCAATACCTTTGGCTCAGTGGATATCCTTGCCCTTAAGTAATACTGTAGGACTATCTGAGACATGATGGAAGTTTTTAGCACCCAGTGAGAGAAATTGACAATCCAGTTAGCTTAGTAGAAGCGAGAACACCAGTTCTTGAAGAGAGGGCAGTCTGGCATGAGAAATACTAGGACCAATTCTTCTGTATTTAATATTGAAATAACAACCAGAAAGAATTGTGTTTTAAATACAGCCATGATTGTTTATAACCCTGTGCGTTTTCTTTCTTTCATCAGAATTCTCTTATCATTTGTGTCCATATTTTCCCTGTATTCTGTTCATCTCCTTTTGAAGACTGCCAATGAAGGAGGTATGGTATTGTTTTTAATTTTTTCTCAAAACAGTCATGCATACCTATTAAGATACTCTTTATAAAATGTTCATGCTTCTATGTTCTTCAAATACAGGGTCTTTATTATATGAACAGTTGGGACATAAGGCATTTGGATTGGTTGGAAAACTTGCAGCTTCTGGATCAATTACAATGCAGAACATTGGAGGTAAGAATTTTTCAAAAAGCAATTGGGTAGACTGCTCATTGTGTAGCACAAGAGTTGTGACACATTAGTTTCAGTGTCACGTGCCACATTTTGCGCTTGTAATGGTATAATTTTGTTTTCCTCCAGCTATGTCAAGCTACCTCTTCATAGTGAAATATGAGTTACCTTTGGTGATCCAGGCATTAATGAACATTGAAGATAAAACTGGGTAGGTGCTAAGTAAGGTTACTCAAACAATTATAGTCTAAAATTGTTAGATACATTTTATCAAAAGTTGGATACCAAATGATTATCAGTAAATTATTATTCATAAATGTTCTTTTGTTAATTCCCCAAAAAGTCACCCACCCATAAGCTGATTAAACTTTGGAGAAAGAAAGTCCAGAGATAGTAGCTACCCTATAATTCTGTGCCATTTCTAACCTGCATGTGGAAACAAATTTTTTGGAACTTATCTCCTCTCTTTATTTTCATACTCTAGGAAGTTAAAGCTATAGAATACAGACTCCAGCCTAAGTTAGGACTGAGGCTTTGAATTAGGTTAAAAATCAATTTCTGCCTTGGCTTTTCAGAGTTTAAAATTATTAGAAATCAATCTATTTCAAAAGCAGAACATCAAAATGTTGGTCATGCTGTTGGAAACCTTATCTTTCTAGCAAAATTACTCATCCTACTGCACTAACAGGTTTTTATCTAAAGTAAACATGGGGGATAATTTACTTCCAATTTACCTGCAGCTCATTACCTTGAAATAGAGAGGTATGGTTATCTCTGGTGTGGCTTTAGAAATTTAATTTGATAAGCTGGTCTTTAAATATTAGTTTTTTCTGGCGTACTTGATGGAGTGAGTGAAGTGGAATTCATGGGCAGTCAGAATTTGAAAATGGTTATGAAGTTAATTACCTAAGAAAGAAAAGACATTGCTAGAAACTCTAGGGACATACCTGATACCTTCTTTAAGTTCAGAAGGGATTCTTTTGAACACTTGAAGACAAGGTGGGTCAAAGTGTCATAACATACTCTGATGATCTGGATTAAGTCCTGGTTTGGAGAACTGAGCTTTTAGTTTTTTCCAAGGGTCAAAGTATCTCTTTGCTGGAATGTTTAAATGTGTGTATTTGCTAACAAATGTCTTAAAAAAAAAATTCTTGTTTTAAAATTTCCTTGTTTCTAGCTTTAGAAACTGTAAGCTAAAAGCTATGACAAAGTTGGTGTACAATCTTTCTAAAAAATGCTTAAAGATAAGATTACTGGCATAACAATGCCACTTTGTTCCCTACACTAGTATCAAGCCTCTTAAAGGAGCATTTTATGTTATGAATCAGCTGCAGCCTTCACAGAGCAGAGTGAGACAAAAGTAACACTGATTCATAGCCTGTTTTCTAACCTGAGTGAATATTCATCTAGCTCACAAAGTTAGTTTATTTTGATTTATAAACTTGAATAAGTCGTATTTTTTCCAAACCTGGGTTTGTGTGTGTGTGTATTTGTTTTTATAGCATTTCTAAAAAATAAGTTATGTTAGAATTACAGGAACTCTGTTGGTACATTGGTTAAAGCATTTGCTACTAACCAAAAGTTGGTGGTTTGAACCCACCAGCCACTCTGTGGGAGAAAGATGAGGCAGTCTGTTTTTGTAAAGATTTACACCCTTGGAAATCTATGGGCAACTCTACTCTGTCTTAGAGGGTCTTTATGAGTCAGAATCGACTCCATGGCAGTGGGTTTTGGTTTTGGTTTATTAGAATTATAGTCGTTCTGTAATTTTCTCTCTGACTTGTCATACAGAAGGAGTTTTTCTGTTATTAAAGGATATGTTTATTGTTTCTAAAGATATTTGACTGCTTTTTATCTTATTCCTTTAATTCAGATTGTGGTATCTGAATGGTGACTATTTGGTTCTGCTGGTGTCATTGGTGCTCATTCTACCCTTGTCGCTGCTGAGAAACTTAGGTGAGCAAACCAATCTCTAAAGAGAATTGAAGTGAGCCTTTATTCAACTGGTTGACTTTTGTCTTAGAAATTAATGAGAGCTAAAAAGCTTTAATAAAACTCCTTTGGGAGTTGTGGCGTTGCAAGCCTGTAGTACTTTAAAGTCCTAACAGGATAGCAACCAAAGGACCAGAACCTGAATTGCTGGATTTTCATTGACATTTGTAGTTATGTTACTGAGTGTGGTAAATAGTAATAGAGATGATTTTTTATCATTTTGGTTTTTAATTATTATTAAGTAATTCTAAATCTTAAGAATTGCTTACTTACTTGAGAATTAGAATTTTAATATTTTACCCACACTTCAGTGTTTAAAATCCTCCAAGCAGGATTGACTTACTCAGTAGAGGAAATATTTTTCCCTTAAACCAATTTTATTAAACTAATGTCAGTATTTTTCTCCCTTACAGGATATTTGGGATATACCAGTGGCCTTTCCTTATTGTGTATGATGTTCTTTCTGATTGTGGTAGGTTTGCTTCTTTTAAAGCTAGACGTTTTCAGATAAGATTTTAATAAGATCGCTTACATTATTCTGCTTAACAAAATGCAAAATTCTGTATTTTCAGGTGATTTGCAAGAAATTTCAGATTCCTTGCCCTGTGGAAATGGCTGTGATAATAAATGAAACAATAAACAGCACCTTAACACAGCCAACAACTTTTGCTCCTGATGTGACATTTAACATGACTGAAGATGAATCTTGCAGACCACATTACTTTATCTTCAACTCACAGGTAACTAAATATAGTCTTTAATTTCTCAAAGGCAGACAGTAGGGGATAAAGGAGGAAAACTCCACTGAAAATTTTAAAATAACTTCCAGGGTAAAGGGAGGGAGGGGTTTAGGGAGCTGTGGTAGCGTAGTACCTAAGGCACTTGACTGCTAATCAGAAAGAAGGCTGGCGGTTCAAACCCACCAGCCACTCCTTGGAAGGAAGGATGGGCAATCTACTTCCATAGTGATACTGCCTCGGAAATCCAAGGATGGGTCATTATGAGGCTGGGTTCGACTTGACAGTATGTAACAGTTACTAATTATCGAACATTGGGAAGAACATGTTTGTTTGTATTTGAAAAGATATTGAGCAATGAAATAATCATACTGTGTTAATAAGTGTCATGTTAAGAAGTTACGATAGTGATCACACTTGAACAGATTGAAGAAGAGTAGAAACTAATTATGCAAGGGAAAACTATCTTAAGCTTTGGTTCTAAGATTAGATAATGTAAAATACAAGCTATGGAACTGACAATGTGAGTTTGTTGCATGATAATAATAAATAAATTTTTACTTTTCTTTTCAGACAGTCTATGCGGTGCCAATTCTGACCTTCTCATTTGTCTGCCATCCTGCTATTCTTCCCATTTATGAAGAACTAAAAGAGTAAATAATCTGTTTTTATATAAATTTATTGGGAAGATTGAAAAAATGTTTTGAGATGTTGTTATAATCATTGCTGAAATATATATGCATTTCCCTTTGATTTTCATAGCCGCAGCCGTAGAAGAATGATGAATGTGTCCAAGATTTCATTTTTTGCAATGTTTCTCATGTACCTGCTTGCTGCCCTTTTTGGATACCTTACATTTTATGGTAAATAATGTCTAATTTACAAAGTATGTTGGAATGAAATTTACCCATTTATATAATTCCAGCACTTAGAAAATTTTAGTCTATTTTAGTATGTTTCCTATTTGTGATAAGAAATTTGAATTTAGAGGCTAAAAGTTTCTTATCGTTGCATTTAATTGATAAATTCTAGAATCCACTATCTCCTGTGATCTTACATAACACACGTATTCCGTAAACCAAAGGATTTCACTATTTAGCTCCTGTTGTTTTTAATGGAGATCATGTGGCTAAATCTCTACTCAGTATTCAGAAAAAATTTCCTTCAATGTTGTTTCAATTGCATTAACTGTAATTCCAAATTAATCTTATTAGCCTCTTAGTTTATAGTCATTTGTGAGTAGCTAATAACTTTGGGGCAAATCTTGCTGTAAAGTTAGATTTACTACTTAATCTCCAGAGGAAATGGCATACTTGAAGTTGTTTTTTTTTCTTTTCCCTATAGACCACGTTGAGGCAGAATTGCTTCATACCTACTCTACTGTCTTGGGAACTGATATTCTTCTTCTCATTGTCCGTTTGGCTGTGTTGGTGGCTGTCACCCTGACAGTACCAGTAGTTATTTTCCCGGTAAGTAGTTGCTCTGCCTTCAGAAGGAATGAACTTTTAACTTGTAAAGATTGGTGAGGTTGTCTTCTGGGAGAAGGGCAAAACTTCTTGAGCACAATGCCAAGTTGGTAGCCAGTTTGAAAGCTGCCTTTCCCCCCAATACTGTAGATTTTCAAATATCCTGGGGTATTTTTTTCATAGTTGACAATACAGAATGGTTTTAAGCATTTAGACATTTGGAAAACAGCTGTTTGGAGGAGAGGGCACGATTTTACTTTAGAAATAGCTGCCGTTTTAGATGTGTTTTGTTTCTTTTCATTCATTAAAGGTGGATGTCCTCTTTGTTTTTGCAGATCCGGAGTTCAATAACTCAGTTGTTGTGTGCAGGAAAAGATTTCAGCTGGTGGCGTCATAGTCTCATTACAGTGTCTGTCTTGGCATTTACGAACTTGCTAGTCATCTTTGTACCAACTATTAGGGATATCTTTGGTTTCATTGGTAAGTTTTAGGAAATACCAAAGTTGATTCAAGTATCCGTGTTTTGTTTTGTTTAACATTATTATTGAGTTTTTGGAAAGTTTACACACCGAGTTAGGGTCCCATTCGACAACTTCATTAATTGCATTTATCACAGTGTGTCAGCATTCTATTTCTCTTTGTTCCATTTCTAGTACTCTAATTTCCTTGCCCCTTTATCTTCTCATTTTTGAGTAATTGTTGACCCTTTGGTCTCATACTGATGAGTTTCTAAGAGCACCAATCTTACAGGTTAATAGCCTTTCTTTTGTGTGCCACTGTTATTTTAGTAAGAGGTGATTTTAGGGGATAGGCTAGGTTATAGGACTAAAAAGCATCTCAGGGAGTCTTCTGTTCTTTACAATTCAGTTTGTCTGGGGTTTTTTTATTATTAATTATTTGAGTTTGGCCTCCCGTTTTTCTCTCATTTTATCCTGAACCATCTATTGTGACCCTGGTCAAAATAATCACTGGTAGTAGCTGGGTACCATCTAGGTCTCAGGGTAGATTAGGTTGTGGCTCATGTAGACTTGTTTCTTCTGTGAGCTTTTGATTTACTTTCTTTTGGTTTTACTTCGGGTGAGCATAGACCCATAATTGTCTTACATGGCTGCTCACAAGCTTTAAGCCCCCAGATGCTACTCATTTCACTATGATCCAGGTAGAGTTTTTGTGAACTATGTTATGTTAGTTGACTGAGTTGTCCCGTAAGACTGTAGTCGTAAGTTTTCAAACCCAGAAAACTCGTCTTGGAAGGTATTTGGTTATACCTGGGAAGTATCTGTATTTTTGTCTTCAGTGAATATATATGTGTCTGCACACACCTGTATTTGTCTTTACGCATTCTATAGATACTTCTGTTTTCACCTTTATATACACCTGTACCCATCCATGTGTGCTCAAACACTTGTTTTTATTTGGTTGTACTGTGCTAACCACATCCATATTTGGTGCCACTTTTCCCATCATCAAAAATAACAGGGTCTTTTGGGTTTAATGGGAGCTCTGGTGGCATAGTGCCTATAGCATTTGACTGCTGACCAGAAGGCTATCAGTTCAAACTCACCAGCCACTCCTCAGAAGGAAAACTGGACAACCTACTTCCATAGAGATACCTCCTCAGAAACCCAAGGAGGGATTGCTATGAGTTGGATCCGATTCCACAGCAGTGACTTAGTTGTTTTTTTTTAATGTTTAATAAATGACGAGTGGGTCATTGAATTCTAAATAAAGGGTAATTTTCTTTCTTTCTTTCTTTTTTTAAAAAAAAAAAAACAACAGGGGCATCTGCAGCTGCTATGTTGATTTTTATTCTTCCATCTGCTTTCTATATCAAGTTAGTGAAGAAAGAATCTATGAAATCTGTACAGAAGATTGGGGTGAGTAAAAAGATTCCCCAAGTAATTTTTTGTCTTTTAGTTCTTATCTGCTTGTAGTTTACATTTTAAGTTCCTAGTAAATGTTTCTATAATGGTGCACATCACAGATGAAAGATGGGGGAAGGGAGGTGTAAGTCACTTTGCTACCTAATTAATCATCAGATATTTTATAGAGAAGAATAAAGAGACGTGTAGGATGCTGTCCCATTTTGAACATTTGTTTTATCAATAGTTGGCCTCCTGTGTGATAGGCACTTTACTGGGTATAGAGCCTATAAAATGCAAAAAAAAGTGGGGTGTTATCTTTATAGAAGAGCAAAGCTCTGTGAGCCTTTTCTCAGTAGTGTTCAGTATTATGTGCTTAACTCTAAGGTGTAATAATTGACTACAAAGATTATGATATGTTAACCACAAACGATACAGTTTTAGTACCAGAATCCTAGTGGGGTTTTTAGAAAAAAATACTGTGATTTTTAGTCCTTATCACTTCACTGCCATTCTATACTGATTAAAGTACTAGAATTGTTTATAAAGCAACAACTGTTGTCTTGTTTTACTCAAAATTATACACAGCAGTGATTGAAGGGGGCAGCCTTAGGAGTGAAGTTACTCATGTCTCTTAAAAAGACCTCAGGCTTTGACTTGGGCTGCATCTTAGAATGACTTAGGTTTGGTTTTGTGACTTAATTTTGCTTTAAAAATGGAAAAAGATCCAGTCTGTTTCCATATGAAGTAGTTTATTCCTCAAGGTAAATTACCTTTTCATTTGATACAATGGCAGCTATTCGTGCAAACCCTTGATCACTTGACGTAGTAAGTATCTTGACCAAGGTAAAACTGTAGGTCTGTACCAGACTATAGACATAATCAGTAGTTAGGAGATCATGACTTCAAAGTGTAAAGAAAGGAATGTTAGCATACATGTTTTGTTTGCTTGCTGATCCGTTTTCTTTGTGTCTTGGTGCAGGCTTTGTTCTTCCTGTTGAGTGGCATAGTGGTGATGACCGGAAGCATGGCCTTGATTGTTTTGGATTGGGTGCACAATGCCCCTGGAGATGGCCATTAACTGGCACCACTTAAACTCCAGTAGTCCATTTGATGCCATTGTTGAGTCAACTCTCAATTAACTATGAAATTTCACCTAATGTTTTCAGTTTCACTTCCTTTTGAAGTGTGGATTCCTCGCTGGTTCTTCTGAATACAGAATAAGTGAACTCTTTTAAGAAACTATTCTGTATGGTAGAAAAGGACATTAACAGCAAAACCACGAGTCTGTGGTGAAGGGAAGTGACAGTTTTATTCCATTCCAGAGAATGGACGAACTCTAACTTTTATCAAGCCACATGTTTGGCTGTGTCATTGTTTAACTTGGATATTTTATGATTTTACTTGAATGTGCCTAATGGAACCATTCGATGTGAGAAACTATCCTTAATTTACAGTAAAGTATTGAAATAACCATTGAGAAAAACACTATTATTTTTTGTACCAAAAATACGTATAGACCTCAAAAGCACTATTTTACTTTTAAAAAATTGCTTTTTTTGATCTTTATCCAGAAACAGTTGTCAATTCCATTAAAAAAAGTCATTGGTATTTAAAAATGAGCATTAGTGTTATGAAATGAATGATTTGCCTTTTTGTAGGCATAATAAGCCAAATACTTTTTTACCCAAAATAATTTTTAGAGAAAATGATGTAATGAAAAATTATATCGCTGAATATGAACAGTTTTCTCCATTCCAAACTTCATCATTACTTTAAAAGATAATTAATAGATTGTTGCTATACCAAATCAGATGAACTCTGTTCATTACTTCTGTCCTCAAATAATCTGGTTTATATAGACTCGGAAATGCTTATGAGTTCAGCCTATTATAATGGAAGATAATGCAGATATTTCTGTGGGAAATGAATTAAAATAACTAATTTTGAGGTACCAAATAGTGCAATTGGGTAAAACAGGGTTTATTCAGTTGCATCTGTCTCCAGAGTTGTATTAATAGCTCTGGGTCTTTTTTGGGCCAGCGCTTTTTGGACATTACTTCCAGCAGTGGAAAGTGGGCATTTGGTGGCTATATAGGCCAAAACTGTTCTATCTAGAGAGTACAACTTTTCCAAAATGCTCATTTACTACTGGAAGTGTGAAATACTTGATAATGTATGACTTAGTTGTGTTCATGTTTTGTCTACAGTTAGAGGTCTAATCCACAGGTTACACCGGTATTTGGTATAATATAAGTTCTCTTTGTATAGGCCACTGGGTTTCTTAATGCATAAAGCTTTTAAAAAAGAAAAACTCGTATGCACTGGATTGTCATCTCATTCTTGTACAACTTAGAATTACTTGTTTACATCCAGCAAATGGTTAGCTAGGGAAAACAGTGCAGTCTGAGTGTATGTAGTTGTTTTGGTCCAACTGCATGTTCACCCTTCCATTTCAATCCTGGTTAGAAGTGAAAACATTACTTATAAACTTGGCTTTAAGAGCACATTTATTGTACGTTACGGTGTATGGTGAATATATTATTAAATAATGTGGTACTTTGCTCATCAGGCATAATGTCTAAAGTCTATAGTACACATAATTCCATTAGTGGTTGAGGGAAGCAAATAATGGAATCATCAGTTGGTCATCTGGCTTTAAGGTTATCTCTGAACTTAAATAAGCCTTTTTAGTTTTAGGCTAGAGCCAGAAATGTGACAGACATGGTTTATGTTACACATTCTTGTATTATATGTGACTAAATTTCAGGCAGCATATGTCTAATTAAAGACCTTTATGGAACTGGAAGACGTCTTGTAGTGCTACATTGGGTGAAACCAATGGTCCATTTCTGTTTGTTTCTATGGAAATTAATTGAGGGCCATCTAGAAAGGCAGTGAGATGATGGATTCTACAACACTGCTTTCATTTATTGGGCTTTTAGCACTCCATTGGAATCCAGAACCTCACCTCTAGTTCAGACCAAGAATTGAAACTTCTGCTTGAGTTCCTGGAATGAATTGCTGATTTGATGTCACCTCTGCCAAGGAATGCCAAGTGAAGAGGTTTTTTTTTTTTTCTTTCTTTCCCTCTATACGTCACATCCTTTCAGATGTGAGAAAGAAAATACTATTTAATGGCAACCAGAAAGGAATGGAAAAAATTCTCACAGCAAATCTATGTGGGGAGGTTCCTTCAGTCCTTTTTTTTTGCTATTTGAAGTTCAAAATCAGCTGTCCAGGGTAAATTACAATGCATGATTGTCTTGGAGCTATCTTGTCTGCCTTGAGGTTCCTAAACAGTGAATTCCCATTAATGAGCAGTCTTCAGTATTAAAACCACTGTCTTGTCACCTCATTTTGCATTACTGTCTTCCGTGGATGTTTCAGTTATAACTGTAATGTTATTTATAGAACAGCATGAATCCATTAAAGCTAACCTATTTTTCAATATTTATGATAATCTATGTACATACATTGTCTGTCCATATGTATTTGTAAATAGATGTATATAATGTCAGGTTTGGATCTTGGGTTCAAATGTATATATTCCTATAAGTTTCTTAACTGCATTTTGATGAATTCATATTACCTATCTATAAAAATAGTCCCCAAAGTACCTGTACAGAGACTCAAACAAATTGACAAATTGTGTACAAACACTAAACATTCAAGGGTAATATTTGTTTAAATTATATTTTCAATAAACTGAACATCAATTTTTTTTTCATGGAAACTTGGTGCAAATTCAGATATCTTAAATTTTAAATAAGGTCTAAAATTCCAAAATGCAGTGTTAGCAAAATGTGATCGACTGTAATGAAATCGAATGTGATCTAGTGTAATGAAAGACTTTTGAGAACCTGGTGTGTTAACTTTATGTATATAATGTAAATATCCCACTGTACTGTTAGAGGCCAACAATTCCAGTATGGCTTGTTGGCAGAGAGTGCTACACCGTTTCAATGAAACAATGTATGTTTTAACTAAAATAAATACATGGTTAATCCTGATTAGCAATTTTTTTTTTTTTTTTTGGTGTGGGGAGGAAATAGGATAGCCAATGTCTGAAGTACTTTTTTATTATTTAAGTACATCTACTTCTGTAGTGATACTGCCTTGGAAACCCAAGAAGGGGTCTCTATGAGTTGGGTCCAACTCAGCACATAACAATAAGAAGTATGACGCTGAGTACTTATTAGGTGCGCAATAAATGTTAATGATTGTGATTTTTTTTTTTTTTTCCTAAAGGCCAGTGAAACATGCTTATTTAAAGTTCCTAAAAGTTACAAATTTACTAACAGGGAAGGCAATGAAGAGTTTGTTAAAAAATTACAAATGCTGAGGACATTGACCTTTGGGCCTGGAGTACAAATGCATCAACTGGGAAGCTTTTATAAATGCAGCTTCCTAGAGTATGTACCTAGATGCTTCAATTCCATAGGTTTGGGAGTGTATTCCAGGATCTTTTTTAAGAAAGCTGTTTGGTTGATCTGATGCACAGTTAGTTAAAATTTGTTGTTGGTTGTTATGTGCTGTCGAGTCAGAGTTAAAATTCAGGGGCACTGAAATAGGCCTGGGAGAAGTCAGATAAGGTGTTTTAGTCAATGAACAAATCTTGGGAAAGGAGAAGAGACAGCACTAAGTTTGAAGAGGAACTGTTGAGCAAGTTGATGCATAAATGGGTGACATGATGCAGGGAGGATTTCTATGTTCTGTGGGTTAGCTCAGGTACAACCTATTGGTAGCCTTGAAAGCTTGGAGTTGAAAAGTGAAAGTATCAAGCTGAAACCAAAGAAAATAGAATTGCAGGTGTTCTTGGGAATGGTTCCAGAGTTAAGGGAACTTTTGAGCACCTCATCCAGTTTCAGTGGTCAAATGGGAAGGAATATTTGTGATCAGAAGGTGCAGCAGAATAAGCAACAAGTCTGAATTGAAGAACAAAGGACAGTTGTGAGATTTTTACTCATTCAACAGACTTTAATTGAACACCTATTATGTGCATAGTAATTATGGCCAGCAATTGACTGAGAGCAAGTGCCATCACCTTAGCTTTCAAGGCAGAATTGTAACAGTGAGCCCAGCACTACTTCGGGTGTTTTTAGGCCTGCCGTATCTGCGCTTTTGAGTTGAAAAATCATTCCAAAGTTTAAGGTCACCAAGCTCAGAACAGACATTTTATTCAATACCTACTACATGCTACGTAAAAGAGCACTTGTACAATTTATAGCCCTTTAAGATAGTTATTGCCTCATTTTTAGAGGTAGAAGACAAAGTCCCAAGGTGGTAAACTGACATGCTCGTAGAAAAGAAGGTGTCAGACAGACTTGGGTTCTAATAGAGTCCATACATGTTCAATAATGCCTTTGTGTGTGTGTGTGTGTGATTTGGGTGAAAGTTTACAGAGCAAATTCACTTTCCATACAGCAGCTCACATATACTTTGTCTCATAACGTTGACTGAAATTTCCCACAATGCAACAGCTCCCCTCCCACTTCCTCCCCAGTTACCTCTTCCCTGTGTTCTTCCGTCCATACACTCCTGCCCCCTGAGCTGTCCCCGGTGCATATACAGCCCTTCTATTCTCCCATGATTGATCTCTCCAAGGAGTGTATCTACCTAATATAAATGTTCAGCTCATGTGCCTGTCTTGTTTGACTGGAAGCTACAGGAGTGGGTTCAATTCCAGACCTGAAGGGCAGCTAGAGGCCATAGTCTCAGTGGTTCCATCAGGCTCTATCAGAGCAGCAAACCTGGTCCTTTTTTTTTTTTTTTTTTAATGATTTTGAGTTTTGTTCCACATTTTTCTATTCTATCCAGGATCTCCTACACAGATCCCCTTCTGAGTGGTTGACAATAGTAGCCAGGCACCATCTGGTCTCATAGTCCTATAGGCTGAGAACTGCATGGTGTACTAGTCGTTTGGACTAATTGTTTCCATGCGTCTTTGGTTTTCTTCATTCTTTTTAGCTCTGGACGAGGAGAGTTCTGTTGTTGCATATAGATGTAATTACGCCATTTTTTTCAAGTGGAACCAAAATGCCAATTTACTCTTCTAAAGTTAAAAATATATTTGGTGGGTAGGTTGACAAGAGAGAATGAAAATGCTGTGTTATCACTAGGGAGATAGCTATTCTAAAGAGACACTACCATTATTTCTGAGGAATATTCTAGGCACGTTTCTAACTATAAAGAACCACAGCTGTTTGTCTTGACTTGGCAATAATACTCTCCCCTGGAGAGTTGCCTTAGGTAAGTTTCTGGTAACAATGTGAAGAAGATCCGTTTTTGTAAATGCACTATGCTAATTTTTTTTCTAGTTGAGAAAAAAAAAGCCATAGTGCCCTTATGGAAAATACCTGGGGAGCAGTTGGCAAACAAATGTAAAAGGTGCATGTTATTTGTGTAAAAATACAATAAATTAAGCAAAATGGTGGCAGAAGAGACATCTTATTAGGAGGAGACTGAGGTACCTCAGAAAATTAAAGGTTAGATAAACAGACTTCCAAAAAGGTAAAAACTAGATTTGATCCAGACATGTCAGTAATAAAAGTTTGTGATACTTCACCATAGGACTCTGCAATTAATTATATGCTGAGGTTTCAATGTATTCAGTTCAATTTCTCAAGATAAACTATTTGTTCTAACATCCACCTTGATTCACTCAAATATAACCAGGTAGGCAGAATGACACATTACAGACATGGTTGCCATGACCCACCTGATTTGGGTGAATAGTTTTCAGAGTGAGGGTGAAATGGAAATAGGGTTACCAACTGTCCCAGTTTTAGTACTGAAAGCTCTACATTCTGGCAAAAAAACCTCCATTACAGACAAACTAGAACAGTTGGTCACCCTTTCTGGCAAGGCAACTCAAAATAGTGTCTTCTAAAACAGCCTGTTGTGGCCATTGAGTTGATTCTGAATCACAGTGACACAATATGACAAAGTAGAAATGCCCCATAGGGTTTCCTAGGCTGTGATTTTTATGATTTGCTAAAAGGACTAACAAATCTGTCCTGGAATAAATGCAGTCAGAATGCTCCTTGGAAGTAAGAATGGCCAGACTTTGTCCCACCTACTTTGGTCATGTTGTCAGAAGGGACCATTCCCTGGAGAAGGATATCATGCTTGGTAAAGTGGAGGGTCAATGAAGAGGGGAAAGGCCCTCAATGAAATGGATAGACACAGTGGCTGCAACGATGGGCTCAGGTATAACAAGGATCATGAGGCTGGCACAAGACCAGGTGGTGTTTTGTTCTGCTGTGCATAGGGTCGCTGTGAGTCAGAGATGACTTGACGGCACCTAACAACAACAATAATCTTTGTGGGAACAGATCACCAGGTCTTTTCTCTTGCAGAGTGGCTGGTGGGTTAAATTGCTGACCTTTGATTAGCAGCCAAGCACTTAACTATTGCTCCACCTGGGCTCTTAAAACAACCTAAAGAGTATACCTCCTAAAGAAGTGAGAGTCAGGACAAGAACAGATGTATGCACACCCATGTTCATTGCAGCACTATTTACAGTAGCAAAAGATGGAAACAACCTAGAGTACCCATCAACAGAAGAATGGATAACCAAATTATGGTACATACACACAATGGAATACTATGCAACACTAAAGAATAATGTAGAATCTGCAAACCACCACATAACATGAATGAACTTGGAAGACATTATGCTGAATGAAATAAGTCAATCACAGAAGGACAAATATAGTATTAGTTCATTATTGTAAAAAGTCAAGGAAAGCTTATATATGGAAGGAAACTTTCTTTGTTGGTTACCAGAGGTGGGAGGGGAGGGGA